GTATTATTATTATTATTATTATTATTATTAATAAAAAAATAAAGTTTGTTTGGTTTTTAATTTTTGTTTAAGTTTTTTTTTTTTTTTTTTCTATTAGGTTATCCAATAGAAATCCTTTACTTATTGGTCTTAATCCACTATGAAATTAACGTGATCTAATATTAAATCAACGTAATCCATTATGAAATTAATGTAATGAACTACAAAATTTTCATAGTCAACATTAGTTAACAGATAAGCAAATTACCGGTCTTAAAGAAAAACATTGTCCGTTGTAAGGAGAAACAAATAGTTTTAACAATTCTAACAAAACTACTATTATTACTTTATTCTATATTTAAAAAAGAATACACCAACAAGCGGCGCCACCACTAACAATAATTGGGGGTGGCAATCGGCCCATGTGAGCCGAATCTAGGTCGGCTCAAACTCAAATACTAACGAGCCTCATTATTATTATTATTATTATTATTATTATTATTATTATTATTATTATTATTATTATTATTATTATTATTATTATTATTATTATTATTATTATTATTATTATTATTATTATTATTATTATTATTATTATTATTATTATTATTATTATTATTATTATTATTATTATTATTATTATTATTATTATTATTATTAAGCATTTACCCCCCTATATTACCAAGTCAAAGTCACCAGCCTCCTTATCAATAAATTGTGTAATACACGCGCTGTTGGTGCGACTTATTGTTTTTTTTACGTGAAAACTCTCAAATACCCTCTTAAATTCTTTTTTAAATAAACATATATTCAATTGTGCTTAAATATAAATAATCCAAACTTTTGGACCAAATTGGTAATTTCAGAAATTTCTTTAAAATGCGGTTTTATTCCTTCCTCTCCAAGATCGACCAGCCCCAATCTTCTCCGGCGCCGGCGTCAGAGCCGCTAGCTATGATGCTGGCACCAAGCAATAAGAAGAACAATAAAGCACGATGCACCAACTATATTTCAGATCTGCCTGAGTCGGAGGTTTTCAAAGTGTATTTTTGCAAGTCAATGATTTTTTTATTTTTTTTTTAATGAATAGGGCTTTACATCCCACAATTAGCTATTGCTCGTTTGGACCACAATGAACATTCTCCCGAATTCAAGTTCAACATCAAAGGGGTTGCTGTAAGGAATCATTGTTATTCATTTTCTGATTTTACATAAGATTTTATTATTCGTTTTTTCCTTTTAATTTTGGCTAGTTTGGAATCCAATATATGGGGGATTTTGTCCGGGGGGAGTGAGTTCTTGAAGGAAATTAGTGGTGGCCGTTTCCGGCAAGACCATTTGGAGCGGCGGCGGAGGATGTGAGAGAGATGAGAAATGAAGAGATGGTGATATATATGCAGGTCTAAGTTTATTTATTTTCTAGAATTAGAAGATGATACTTTGTAATTTTCTATGTTTTGGAGGGATGTTCCAAAACTTCTATATAAGCACCTTTTGAATGAATAAAATGGGGGATGATTGTTTAAGTTAAAAAATATATTAATTGCATTGAGAGTGAGTGATTCATCTTTATACAAGTGACACTTGACTTGGTCGCGTTGAGTGATTCCGTGATTAGTAGCGTTGAGTGATGCCGGTTGAGTGATTCCCAGTCCTCTATCCATTTGATCTATTTTCCGTTGTGGGTTTCGACCTGCATCAGGATAGTTTAGTCATTTTATACTAGTCAACGAGCTTTATTTGATTGGGATGTTGGCCTAAATAAATTCCATCACAGGGGTATATGATAATTGTTTTAACATAAGAATTTTTTCGGCAATTAGACATTTCACAGGGGTTGTATGCAATTAACTCGATTTGTTTTTGTTTGAATGAGTATTAAATACCGCGTTGACAATTTTGTATTCGTCCATTGCAATTTGATTAACACAGTTGGAAAAGGTCTGCCGGTGACTTTCATTCAAGTCATTTTATATATATGTATTTGTTTTATGGTTCCCCTACTTGTTCCACGTTTCTTCCTCAATTCACCGTTGAAAAATCTCAAAAGAGAAGAAAAGCTTCTGTTTTTTGTTTTTTGGGATTCCAATTAAAGTTCATCCCTCATCAGATTGTAAGATACGACGGATTGATTAATCATGGAAAGACATCTCAATATCGAACCTCAAGACCTCAGTTTTATTTGTGAGTTTATTTATTAATTCGATCACATTTAGCTTTGCAGAATGAGCAACTGTATTTTAATTTATTTTGTTGGCTCGATTAGACGAGGTGAATAAGCAATCAACTTCTTCTATCAAACTGACAAACAAAACCAATCAGCCTGTTGCCTTTAAGGTGAATATTTTAATTGCGTGGTTTGTTATGTTAATTCATTTCTTAATTGACTATCATCATCATTCGTGTTCAGGTTATGACTACGAAACCCAAGAGTTACTGCGTCCTTCCGAATATGGGAGTTGTTTTGCCCAGATCGAGTAGTGATGTTTTAGGTACCTCAATATTTTTGTTTTCTTGCGCTTCTCTGTTTTAGATATGTGCTGTTGTAACAAACATTTAAAAAAAAAAAAAAGTAAATTACAACCACCTTGAGATATGGTTAATTTACAAAAAAAAACTCCTCTTGTTTGGATAATTACATCTACCCCTCAACTATAATTTTTTCTTACACCTCCACCCTTATGGCGTCAAATTCAACATAATCATTTAGATTTCGTGGAATGTGCTCTAGTTTGTACTCGTTTTGTGTAAAAATTCAGTTTCTGATGCACCAGAATCTGATATATACAAGCCAAAAAACACATATTATGATCATCTTGCTTCAAAATGTGGAGTTCAAATGGGATAAAATGGGTACAAAAGTGATAATATTCCATATAATCTCGAAGATTTCACTAAATTTGAAACCGCAAGGGTGGACATGTAAGAAGATTTATAGTTAAGGGGTGGTTGTAATTACCCAAACAAGAGAGTAATTTTCGTAATTTGACCATACTTCTGGGTGGTCGTAATTTACCCAAAAAAAATAATAATAAAAAAAAATAATAAAGCGAACGTTGATTCGTTGTTATGAATATTGCAGTTACAATGATCGCTCCAACAGCACTCCATACTGATGCGAAATGTCTGGACAAATTTTTGATTAAGACAGTAGTTGCAAGTTCCGGCGCTACCACAGCAGATGGTATCAAGAAGCTGGTAAAAATATATTCAAAATTACTCGTTAGAACGATTACTAATACAAACAAGCATGACCGGATTTGACTTCACGATTTTACTTATTTTCCTTGTTTTTAAAATATAAATCTGAAATATGTGGATTGGTGTATAAACATGAACTTCAAATTTTGGAATTGGCAGTTTGATAAGGAGGCTGGATCTCAATTTCAAGATTGCAAATTGGGAGTTTTCTACACTTTCCCTAGCCAAGCCTCGTCGACAGTTATTGAAAGATCATTTTCCACCTCGGTTGGATCAGAGACTACAAATTTGAATAATATTAAGGTTGATTTCTCATTCTGACATAAAATATTTTTACTTGGGCCACGGTCTTCGTCTACTTCAACTCTTATTCCGTTGATTGTAGTTCTTGTGTTTGCTCTCATTTTCATAATATTAATTCCTTTGGTTGAAATGCAAGATGGACGTAACCAAACTTGTTCAAATTCAGCCTTCGGACCTCAAGTTTGATTGTGAGTCGTCAGATACATCATTTTAACGCATTTTCCGAGTTTCATACTTCTATTTTTTTTCTCGCCCTATATTAACTGTTTCTTGATTTCCATTAGTTCAACAGGGGAAGGAGCTCTCTAGTTTTTTCAAATTGACAAATATGACCGAGAATTATATCTTTTTTAAGGTATGTTTCCATTATCATCTCAGCAAATCTAATTCTTGCAAATATTCCTACTTTTTTTTTATTGCTCAATCTGCCAATCCTTTGATAACTAACTGCCTTGCCTAGGCTGCGTTTGGATTATGTGATTTAAAATGAATATAAATTGGAATAATTTGAAATCCCGAACAATTGCAATCGAAATGCACCGTTGATTGTTCCTTCATATTTTTTAAGTTGACGTGAATAAACTACATATATCAATTATACGTGTAGGTGAAGACTACAGATCCAAACAAATATTGTGTTCAACAAAACATTGGGATTTTGTCGCCGCAATCAACTTGTGATGTCATTGGTAACTATTTTATATATTCTTTTTGCTCCTTTAGTATAATATTAGTTTTCTCTATATATTTAGTATTATAAAGATGAAGTGAACTTAGCCGAAATTTGTTGGTATTTTGTGAAGTGAGAATGAAAGCTCAGGAAGAAATTCCTCAGGACAGGCAATCCAGAGATAAGTTTCTAATTCAGTGTACAGCTGGAAGTCCTGCAGTCCCTGTAAAAAACATTACTTCAGAAATGGTAATTACATATTTAACAAATTTATTTCTTTAATTGCGCTTCTTTTTTTTTTCCGAGCATATTTTGATCAAAAATATGGTGGAGCTGGATTTTCATTTTGAATACCGAATAAGTAGATGATCTCAAATGTTTTTTTCGTTGTAGTTTAATAAAGAAGTACATTTTGTCGAAGAGTTCGAATTGGGAGTCGTCTTCGATTTCCCGTCTCAACCACAATCATCAGCTTCTGAGTCGTCAGAAATACATTCTTCACCAGAACCAGCACCTTTGCAAGAAGGACCTCTTAATTATATTTCTCAGGTTATTTGCTTTTTTTTTTTTTTTTTTAATTTATTATCTAATTTAATTTATATTGGGAAATCATGTCATCAGTTGGTTGAGATCTTTCAGTTTTAGAATTGTAGTTGTTATTTATTTCTCCAGTGTCAACCACATCAAAATAAATAGAGGGCACTCGTCACATCTTAAAGCAATACTTACAATTAACCTTTTCGTTCAGCCATAGAAACATTTAGGCTGTGTTTGGTAAGCTTTTGGGCTTCCATTTCCATTTTATTTTGGGGAAAGATATTTTGGGAGAAGAATTTGAAAATTAAATAAAGTTTGTTTGTGTTTTGGGAGGAGACAATTTGTACTGTAGCAAGTCAAATCATGTCTGAAAGGTGTTGGGAAAAGGTATTTTGGAAGAAGAATTTAAAAGATAAAGTGATTTGATTTTGTATTTTAGTGAAGACAATTTTCATGTAGCGGTCAAATCATGTTTGTTAGAGAGAGAAATATTTGAATTTGTTTTGGGGAAAGTTTTTGAAAATAGTGTAGAAAGATAATTTTCATTTTGAGGAAAGTGTGAAAAGAATTTGAAAACGGTAACAAACATATCCTTAATTGTACCATACTAGACTTACTGTGATACTTCTCGATTTTCGAACCTGAAAATTAGGTTTCTCTTTAAGCTAAAGAGTAATAGAAAAGTTGTTTTGTGCTCTATGCACCAAAACAAAATTCTAAGGCCCGTTTGGTTGGCAAGATAAGATTAAATAATCTAATGAGATCAAATTATTTTATTGGAGCTTGAAACGTCCAACAAAAAAACTTATAATAAGGCAAGATAAGCCAAGATAAGACAAGATAAGCCATGATTATATAATTTTGACGGGTCGACCCGTCAATTTATTGAGGATACCAAACATGAAATTATGTCCAACTATTTAGTTAATCATAGCTTATCTTGGCAACCAAACGGGCCTAAGTATTACACTATTGTGGGTCAGAGTTTTTTAGTCAACATGATATTTCATTGTTCTTGACTTATCCCTCGTAGCATATAGTATATACGCATTTTGCAATTTCATTCTACTTTAAATTTTAGGGTAAATTACAAACACCCTTGAGGTATGGTCAAATTACAAAAACCCCCTCTTGTTTGGATAATTACATCTGCCCTTGAGGTATGTGGATTTTTTCTAAATTCCGTGGAATGTGCTCTAGTTTGTACTCGTTTTGTGTAAAAATACAGTTTTCGATGCACCACAAACCGATATATACAAGCTAAAAAACACATATTATGTTCATCTTGCTTCATAATGTAGAGTTCGAATGGGATAAAACGGGTACAGAAGTGATAATATTCCATATAATCTCGAAGATTACACTAAATTTGAGGAGTTGAGGGGGTGGTTGTAATTATCCAACCAAGAGGGGTGTTTTTGTAATTTGACCATACCTCAGGGGGTTGTTTGTAATTTACCCTAAATTTTATAGTATTTAAATGTCAGCACTCGACTGTATCACATTTTATATATTTATATATATATTTAAATATAATAAGATGCAGGTTATACAAGAGCTGATTGGGAGTAACCGTGCTAGTTCAGTCATAACAGGCATCGCTGGTAGCTTGATAGGGCTAATCCTTTGGCAATTGTTCATGAAAATGTTGCCTCAAATATGGTACTTAAATAATTGAGTTCATACAAACAAATGGCATTGATCAATATGACTTGTTTTTATTGATTATTGCACGTTTGGTTGTGGATTGTGGTGCAGGAGTCTGAGCATTGTGATCGGGATGTTGGCTGTAAAGATGACACAATACTTGGTTTCGAACTCGGTTGAAGAGTGGATTGTCAAGACCCTTGCTGATTTGATCAAGCATTTTATAGATACCGTTTTCGGTCGCAGGCCCAATTCACCTCCGACTCGAGCTTCATAAATTTTAAATTTTAAGTGGATAACATGATGGATCATGGCCATCGGGGAACAACTCGATTTTGCTATCTGATTTTTTTTTTGTATATAATATATACACACGTACAGGATTCTTTTGATGTGTGAAACTCTAGTGGTGTTCCGCTGTTTGTATATCTCTTGCATGTTATGTAATGAGGACAAGGAAAGCGTATGTATCTATGTATGTATGTATGTATGTATGGTATTTTCAAATTTGTGAACTATTTGGCTTTCATTTGTTTAATTAAGTGGATTTTTACCATAGTTTTGATGAGTTGACAAACTCTTGTCCCACAATTTACATTCTAACAAATTCATAGGGCGAACACACCTTTTTATTATTATTATTTTTTATTTTTTATTTTTCATTTTATGTATACTATTTTCAACCATTGTGGCGAATGATGGGGTTATGCTGATGAAAGCAATACTTATGTTGATTATTAGTGTTCCATTGTGGGGAGTGGTTAATCCACTTGTGTGCAAGAGTGTGCACTTTTAATTTACCCTTGATTTTAATTTTTCTTTATTTTTTTTCTACATAGATTTTTTGTTTTTAAGTTTTTTTTTGGATTTATAAACGAGGCATCTACGAACATCATCATTCACACATTTTTTTTTAATTTAATTCCCGTGCAGGAATCTCTTCTATCTTCTACGGTTATTCCAGAATGTTTGCACCTGCCTTCGTTTTTTAATTTTGCTATGTTGGTATAACTATGTCATTTTTGTTTCCAATTTTTTGGTTACAGAAAGGGCTTTTCCCCCTTCACTCTTAGGGTGCATTTGGATGGAGGGATTTGGGGGAGGGATTTCAAATCCATAATAACAAATCCCTCGAACTTGTTTGGATTGAGGGATTTGGAGATGGATTTCAAATCCCCACCCCTCATTTTTAGTTGATTTTGGAGCAATAGTGATGGATTTCAAATGACTCCAAAATTGGAGTCATTTCAAATCCATTCTCCAAATCAAATCCCTCCCCAAATCCCTCCATCCAAATGGACCCTTAAGTTATTTTTGAAAATGAACTGTTAACAAATAATGCAATGTTTTTCTTCTTAATTTACACAAGGGTGTTCGTTGGTGGGTGATGAAGAAAATATGAGAAAGTGTATGAATTTCTTTGTATTTATGCTGGCTTCTTTTTTTTTTCTATTCCAGAGGGATTGTTTTCCCTTTTACCATATATATGTTTAAATATATGTACACCACGTTACATATATAATCTAACTAATGATCTGATGATTTAGATGAAGATGACAATTCAGACGGAAATAATGCTTCTCAACAAGATGATAATTATAAATGGCAACAGTTGCAACCTATTATTCGTTATATATATTTTATTTCTGCATATTCTATACTATTACATTATTAACACTACTTTATCTTAATTGTTGGCGCCGAATTTCTGTTATTGAAGATTGAGGAAATCCGTCATACGTGGTAATTAAAGATTAGCAAAGATTTGTTTTCCATGTTTATTTTGGAATTAATTAGAGTCTTATTCTTGTAATATTGTTATTAGGACTTAGACTTATTTCCATGTATTATATTTTAGTTAGGTATCTTTTGTACTTGTTGGCACCAAATTTCCGTTTGTGAAGATTGAAGAAATCCGCCATACGTGGAAATTAAAGATTGACAAAGATTTGTTTTCCATGTTTATTTTGGAATTAATTAGAGTCCTATTCTTCTAATATTTTTATTAGGACTTAGATTTATTTCCATGTATTATATTCTAGTTAGGTATCTTTTGTACTTATCTAGAATAGAAGTAGAAATCGACTAGGATTCTATTACTAAGTTAATCGATTTCTTAGGGCTCAAGTTAGGTTTAGGGTGGTGGATCCTCATATGAGTCCGATGGAGCTTTAATAAAAAAAATCCCAGCATAAAGGCTTTGAAGGGTGCAGCCCGTGCTGCAGCCCTGTCTGCACGGCAGGTGTGGCAACATAATAGGTTTCTTCTACCAGGCCATAAAGAAGATCGGCGTTTCGGGAGAAGTGCTTAAAAGATCTCGGGAGAGGTCGATCCGCCGTTTGAAGGAAGTTCAACATTGGAGGAAGTCCAAGAGTGCGGAGGAGGAATTGCTTTGATTATCAACAAGTTCGAGTCGTGTGCAAGAACGGCGTATCACATAAAGAGGGAGTCTTTAGTGTTTTATTAAGTCCTATTAATGTACACATAAATCTGAACTAGTTTTGCAAGTCCTCGTGGATGTAGGGTACGTTTGTATCCGAACCACATTAAATTGTTGTGTTCTTTATTCTGCTTTTCGTAGATTTATTACTGTGACAACACAACAATTCTGTTACGTCACCTAATGTCGTAACATGTAGTCTGTCTCAACAGATGAGTGGACTTTGATAGGCATTCAAATTCAACAGTACTTATCTAGAATAGAAGTAGAAATTGACTAGGATTCTGTTACCTAGTTAAATCGATTTCTTAGGGCTCAAGTTAGGTTTAGGGTGGTGATTTCGTGCTTATATAAGGCCATCAACCTCATATGAGTCCTATGGAGCTTCAATAAGAAAAATCCCAGCATAAAGGCTTTGAAGGGTACAGCCCGTGCTACAGCCCTGTCTGCACGTCAGGCGTGGCAACATGACGGAGTCTGCACGTCAAGTGTGGCAACAAAACGGATTTCTACTACCAGGCCATAAAGAAGATCGGCGTTTCGGGAGAAATGCCTAAAAGATCTCGGGAGAGGTCGATCCGCCGTTTGAAGGGAGTTCAACATTGGAGGGAGTCCAAGAGTGCGGATGTAGGAATTGCTTTGATTATCAACAAGTTCGAGTTGTGTGCAAGAACGGCGTATCACATAAAGAGGGAGTCTTTAGTGTTTTATTATGTCTTATTAATGTACACTGTAAATCTGAACTAGTTTGCAAGTCCTCGTGGATGTAGGGTACATTTGTATCCGAACCACATTAAATTCTTGTGTTTTTTATTCTGCTTTTAGTAGGTTAATTAGTGTGATAACACAAGAGTATTGTTACCACACCTAATGTCGTCGCAACAAGTAGTCTGTCTCAACAGAACGAGTGGATTTTCAAAGGCACAAAAATCAACAATTTTGATAAAATTTCATCTTTGACATTGATGAAGTAAGTCCTTTGTTAACTACTTTCAGTAAATCATTGAAGTAAAGGGAGGGGAGCATGTTGAAGTAACACAAAAGTCATGTACAAAGGTTTTGAAGACGATTAAGATTGAAAAAGAATAAATAGAGATCATGTGCTCCTGCTCTTCTGATTTTGCTTTTAACTTTTGGTGACATTTTAATAGGCTTCTTTTATTTTATTTTATTTTATTTATTTTTATATTTTATTTTTTTATGATTCGGTAGTGTTAATATTATTAATATGAGTTAATTGCACATATTCCCCGTGTTATTTCTTCCTAAAAAGTTCTCGTGTTATAAAAATTAGTGAGAACCTCCTTGTGTTGTGCTTTACAAAGCCCATTGCCCCTTTGCTTCAAAATTTGATGTTGAATTGAATGAAATGACTAAACTATCCCAGTGAATCTTTAATAACATTTTAATTTTAGAAGAAAAAATATATAAATTCAATATAATAAAATTAAGAGAAATTGAACATGAAAAATGTTCTATTAATTTCTTCCCACTTCAGTCTCACTCAAAACCTGCCTCCTTCCCCATCCAGCATCCGCCACCGTACCACCACCCACCACATCAACCCCCCACCCTAAACAACTTCTCCATTCACCAACCTATATTAGCGACTGAATTGATTTCACCTTCGACGAAAAAGTTGGCAACAAAAATAAAAAAAACCTAAATAGATGCGGCGCGGGTGGAGGTTGGCGATTGGGGCTTCGAGTGAAGGCGACAACACAGCGACAGGTGCTGCAAAATCCGCACTCAATGTAGTCTTGCTTCATTCAACTTATTTGTTATGAATGTTTATTTGATTTTGTTGCATATTTTTTTATATGGGTGGCTTTGTTTTGGCGATGTTGAAGGTGGTGGTTCTGTTTTGATTGGTGGTTCGGGTTATGATTTACTTTATTTGTATAAAAAAACCATTAGAATGGAAGCGAGGTGGTGATGGTGTGGTGTGGCGGAGACGTCGTGACGATACAAAGCAGATCTAGGATTTTTTAGTGGATTGGGCAGAAGACGGGAAAGAGAAATTCGCGCAGGCTGAGCCTTTAATCGACTATGTGTGGTTTAATCGACTATGTCCAATAGTCGATCACGGTTTAATCGCCTCCAATTTTTTTTTTTTGTTTTTTTTTTTTTTTTTTTTGTTTATTTATTCCAATTGTATAAATCAATTATAATGCTTGTATAATTTTTTGTTTTTGTCTTTCAAATATTTCCAACTTTTTTGTTTATTTATTCCAACTTTTTCGTCTTTCAAATATTTCCACCTCATTCAAACTTATTTGCAAATAAGAAAACCCTTTTATATAAACCAGAATTACCCCCAATTCAACTCCAATTTCATGATTTACACCCCAATTTAGCCAAAGTCTACCAATTAACCAAGTCCCTTATTCCAGATTTGACCCATCACCGCCGGAGACCGCCAGAGACTGGCGTTGACTTCTTCTTTTTTTTTTTTTTTTTTTTGGGCAGGTCAACCGCCGGTCTCCGGAGTTGACTTCTTCTTCTTCTTCTTCTTTTTTTTTTTTTTTCCGGCAGGTCAACCTGCGTTGACCGGTCTTCTTAAAAACATATTTTAATTAATATTATTGTCTTTACCGGAAATTTAACAGCCGAAGACAATAACTTAACTGTTAATTGACTTTTTTTCCTCTTATTTTTTTTTTTGAAATTTTGTTTTTTCTTTAAAAAAATATTTTAATTAATATTATTGTTTGGGACAATAATATTAGTAATATTAATGTTCGAAAAAGTAATATTCATAATATTGTTGTCCCAAATAGTAAAATTACTATTAGAGATAATAATTTTACTGTATGGGACAGTGATATTAGTAATAT